GCACTTGAACGTGCAGCTGGGCGTGTGCACAGGGCTGTGAGCCACACAGCCCAGAGGGTGGAATCAGGGAGTCCTCAGTGTGCTTGGCCACATCGTGTCCACCATCTGGGTGGACTTTTAGCCTGTACCACACGTTGGGGGGTAACCACGTCCACATTTGGATAATTCTCCATTCAGATCACACTCTTTCAGATCATCCAGGGCGGCCCCTGTGTCACCGTCTGGGGTGACTGCTTTGGTCAACATAGAGACTGGCGAAAATAGGACTGTTCACCCCTCCCGTGCTCTTAGTAACAAGCAAGGTGTCCCCTCCCAGCCCGCGCTCTCCTCTTACGGAACTGGTTCCCAGCCCATTGTCGCATGCAGAGCAACTGGTGACGTGTTCCTCGCCTCCCGGGCCACTGCTCGTCTTCCCGGGGCACCGCGTACCCGCCTGGGTCTGGGACACGGCGGGCACACACTGCTCGGCGAATGTCACTGAATGGAGGACCGACCGCGTGGTGTTCGGCAAAGCCCTGCGTGTGTCACTCACGCTCCCCGTGGGCCTGTGTTCTCTCCCGCAGGCTATCGGCTGCACTCTCAACTGTAGCTGCCAGAGTTTCAAGCCGGGGAAGATCAACCACCGCCAGTGTGAGCAGTGCAGACACGGATGGGTGGCCCACGGTAACTTTGTGTCCTCTTCCCGCGGCCTGTCGTGCTCCCTCGGAATAACCTAGAGTGGTTTGGGAACGGCTAACGTTAAATCCCTTCCCAGACGGCGAACCCTTGTGTGTGGCCCCGATCTCTGGCTAACAGGCCAGGAGCTTTGTGTACGATCCCTTTGAACCTGAACGACCCTGCATGAGGGGTGTGCTGGGTCATTCTGCAGCGACAGCAGCTCATGCAACGGCCTCCAGGGTTGCCAGATACAACCCAGAATGCTCAGTTAAATGTGAATTTCAGAGACACAACAACTTAAGCTTAACTGTGTCCCCGTGAATATTTTTAGTATAAACGTATCCCACTCAGTCACTGTTTATGTGAAATCCACGTTCGTGTGTAACTGGGCGTCCTGTATTTCAGTTTGCCAAACCCCAGAACCCCACACCAGCCCTGTGCAGCTGGTGAGTACTTGCAACGTGACTGGTGTGGCTGAAGGACTCCATTTCCAGTTTGATTGAATTTAATGAATGAAATGGTTTAATAAGGTAAAAATAATTCAGTAAAGTTAAACACGTTAAACACGTTAAAGTTAAAAATAATTCAGTAAAATTAAAAGTAAAGTTATTTTTCAGTTTAACTGAAAAATAATTCAGTTAAAGTTAAAAAAGTTAAATAAATTTAAGCAGCCGTGCGTGCCTGATGACTGTCACATTGGACGGCATAGATTTCGGTGGCTTAAATCGGCAGAGCCTGATGACTTGGACGACAAGGCAGAGCCTGATGACAGACGAGGGCACGAACCCAGATCCGTCAGATCTTCACCGGCAGACCCTGTTCTTCCTGATTTTTCTATCTTTTGATTATGCACCTGCTGCATTTGTCTTCACTCCTTGTCCTTGTGTCTGTCCTACGTGGGGCTATTTCTTACTCCTTAGGGATGACACAGGGAAGAAAAAAGAATCTCAAGCCGGGCCGTTTTATTTTAGAAGTTCTTGTGAATAATTTAGAGCCTGATAGCTCTTAAGGTGGTTAATCAAAGGCGCCTACGTGGCTCAGTCGGTTAAGTGTCCAGCTCTTAATTTCGGCTCAGGTCATTATCTCATAGTTCGTGAGTTTGAGCCCCACGTCGGGCTCCATGCTAACAGCACAGAGCCTGCTTGGGATTCTCTCCCTCCCTCTTTCTCTCTGCCCCTCCCCTGCTCACGCACTCTCTCTCTCCCTCAAAATAACTTAAAAAAAAAAAAAAGATTGTTAACATTTGCATGTTACTGTTTTTTTCTGTTGGAACACACACCTGAGAGCTCACACTAGCCTACCACCTTCTCCGTGTTTCTCTTAGCAGTAGGATCTTTACAAATGGACTTTCTTTTCTTCAATTTGATTTTTCAGCTCTAAGCAAGCTGAGGATCCCTCCCGTGTATCCCACAAGCCAGGTGGAGATTGTCCAGTCCAATGTGGTGTTTGACATCAGCAGCCTCATGCTGTACGGGACCCAGGCCATCCCTGTTCGCCTGAAAATCCTACTGGACCGGCTCTTCAGTGTGTTGAAGCAAGATGAGGTTCTCCAGATTCTCCATGCCCTGGACTGGACCCTTCAGGATTATATCCGTGGATACGTGCTACAGGTATGGTGAGCGTGGCCATAGTTCTCCTGGAACGTCGTCTCGAATCCATGTTCCAGTAAATGATGGAACCCGGTCGCCTGTAGTGCTCCAGTCATTGGTGGGCATCATCCCCTTAAATATTTTTCCTGGGGTGCCTGGGTGGCTCAGTTGGTTAAGCATCTGACATCTGACTCTTGGTTTCAGCTCAGGTCACGATCTCATGGTTTCGGGAGTTCGAGCCCATGCTGGGCTCTGCACTGACAGTGTGGAGTCTGCTCGGGATTCTCTGTTCTCGTCCTCTGTCTCTGCCCCTCCCCTGCTCATGCCGTCTCTGTCTCTCCCAAAATAAAAAATAATAATAATAAACTTAAAAAAAAATCTTTTTAAAAATTTTTTCTAATGGCTTAAGCCCCCACCTCACGTTCTGGGGAAAACGCAGCGCTTTCCCCCAGATACCCGTGAAACTTCCGGATGTGGGAGCAATTACATGTTCTCTGACTCAGATTCCACCGAGCTGGCCCTCCTGCAATGAAGCGTTTGCCCCACGTTACTGTCCGTCCCCAAGCCACCTACTGACACAAGGCCCTGCCTGTGCGAGATTTTACTGAGGGTGTGGGTGGGGGAGAACAGGAGTTCCAGAACCGCACGGCGGACCGTTAACAGCTTCCTGCTGCCCCACTTCCGGTCTTCCTTCCCGGGCTCCACCCTCCTGGGATGTGTCTGCCTTCCGGCTCCCGCTCATTCTCTCGCTCCTGGACTCCCTTCCGGCCCCCGCACGTGTTCTCATCTCTCGGCTGTGCCGTGCCCTCCTCCCCTTCTCCCCTTCCGTTATTTTGCAGAGTAGTCTTACCTCCTCCTCGACCAGGTCGTGGAGGTAGGCCTCACGTGTCATATCTGCAAGCAAAGGACATCCTTCCTGGTACGAATGGTAGCATTTCTCTGACATCTGACACAGCTGCAGCTTTTTTCTTGCTTTGACATCCACACTAGGAAATGTCACAATTTCCCTGAAACGGACATTCGCTTCAGTCTCCTCCAGGTAGGCCGTGTCATTAACACAAACACTTACAACCATTTATCGACCTGGACCTTCTTCCGGTAAAATCTCACAAGGCAGGTCAATTATCCCCATTTTCCAGCTGAAAAGCCAGAGGCTCCAAGTGCCTCTGAATCGTGGCCAAAGCCACTCAGGTCATACGTGGCCAACCCAGGATTTGAACCCGTTTCTTTCTAACCCTGACACCCACAATATTCCTCTGAAGGCATATTTGCTCACCTTGGATGCAGGACCCCCAGCAGGCTCAAAGCAACCTTTTATGTAGAGTAGCATTATGATCTTACATTATGACATAGATCAATATTTAATGATCCTAATAATCTTGCTTTCTAGTGTTAGGATTAAAAATATGGAATCAATTACCTTGAACCTCTAGTGCATCAAAAATTTATGATGTTACATCCCTCATCATCTTCAGAACTCTTACATGCATTGTGAAAGATCTCAGTAGGCCATCAAATACATGTTCTGTGATAAAATATTTATTGTAGTTTTGGGAAAAGTTAGGCCTTGCTAGAGTTTGAAAGATCTCCAACACTCCAGTGTAATTAAATCTCTGCTTTGCAAACACGGCCAGTGGATCAATACAGGTTCATTTGCTTTCTGATGTGAGTTGCTTGGGAAGATTATTAAACTCGCAGCAAAATAAATACTTGAGCTGTGCTAGGCCTGATTGCTCTGTCTATACTTTTTAGATAAAGAAGTTACTGTTGTTCAAATGATACATATTTTAATTTTGGGCGGGGG